TATATTATATAAAATATTATACACGTATTTTTTACATATTACACATATTTAATAATATATATATATATATTATTTTTTACACGTATTTTTTCCTTTCTACATTTTTATCAACGAACATCAAAATACGTAAATTTTCTATTTATTTTCTTTACTTTTTATTGGCAGATAATGATTGGAGGGAGATTGACGGGGGGAGGGGAAAGCTCTATTTAAAAATATATGATTCATATGCGTACGCGGAAAGGGGGTATTTAAAAAATAAAAAAGGAAAGAGACGACAAACGAGAGAAAGAGATAGAAAGAAAAAAACGGAAAAGGGGATGGAAGGGTGGTGAAAAAAAAAGAGACAAAATCGTTCAACGACCGGATGATTAATGATGCGTGCGCTGATTTCGTTCTTTTTTTTTCTTTTTTTTTTTATTATCTTTATTTTTTTTCTTTTTGTCTTCTACGCGCGTCCTTTTGTTCGTACGTTTCGCAAAATGGCAGGAGTGCCGTTGGCAGTGATGGACGACGGCAACGAAATTAATCTTGGCTCAAGCGTTATTCCAAAGCTTCGTTTCAAACTCGTGTATGTGTGTGTGTTGTGTATAGGCGTGGAATAGGTACTACTATTACACATACGTATGTCTACTTCAACTCCTACCCCTATAACTCCTGCACTCCTCCCCCACAACCCTCCACTCACCCACTCTTCAACATTCTGTCTCCATTTTTTTTTGTTGTAATTTGTTTTATTCTCTTTTCTTTTATTTCATTCGAACTTTTCTTTTTTTTTGGCTTTATTCTTTTTCCAACTACAGGTATTCGCCAATCGAGCAAGCACCCACCACCAACGGAAAATGCAACTTTATTTGCAACGTTAGAACGTTAAAAATAAACATCGATGAGGTATATCGTATCGATGGATTTTTCGTATGGTTTTAGATTGTTTCAAAAAAAAAAAAAAAAAGAAAATAAGAAACAGAAGTCACGTTTGTGACTTTTTTGTGTTTGTCCTCCCTACGAGATTTTTCATTCATTAAAATCCGTTCGTTGGGGCTGTTCATTGATTCATTTTTTTCTTTTTTCTTTTTATATAAAAAGAATAAATTACAAAATAATAATTATAATTGTTAAGAAATAAACATGAAAAAATTGTTAGATATTTATTATCTCGCAATATGAAATATATTATAAATCGATAATTACGCGTAAGGTGTAAATTATTTTTTCCCCACCCCTATCTCGTATTTGTTCGTAGTTCTAATTTATTCTTTCCTTTTTTGTTTTATTTTATTTCAATACAAATACACTAAATTAATAATTATCTACTAGAGCGTTAGCAAGAAATTCTTTATTAGTATGTTAATCGTTGTTAAACGTTAAAATGGATATTGTTGTTGGGAAGATTAATTGCGAGTATCATCGTTACGTGGGTGAGTTGAATTATCGTAATAATTAACCTCATAAATAACTCAACGATAACGATACCTATTCGTTATATTATACTATTATTATTATTATTATTACAACATTGAAATTATTTCGTAATATAGATAATGTAGTTAAAAAAATTCTAATATATATATAGAAAATGACGTGTAAAATAATATCGTCTTAAAAGTTATCACATTGGGATCGTAATGTTTGGCAAGAGTGAAAGTATTATACTTAATCGAGCGTAAATGCTATGAGGAAGCGTTTAAAGGGAGAAAGAGGAAGATGAAAGAAAAAGAAAAACGATCTGGCTAGTAGTATAGTAGTAGATATAGAAATACGCATACACACAAACACACATAACAAATAAATGATGAAAAGAAGAGACAGAAACACACTAGTGGGATACACACCAGAAGTTAAATCTATTCTTGGACCTTCTCGAATGCGAGGTCCGAGTCATTAGGAAATTGGCCAACTAATAATAACACACTCTTGCTGGTGAATTACTATATACGCGGGGTGATATATTAAATTCGATGGAAAAATAATTTTAATATTGCGGATTTAATAATTAATTTCAATTTAAAATAAACCATATGGTGGTTTAACCATTCAAAAGGCCATTTCAACGATATTTGAAGTATTCCCCCATCTTTTTGGGATGTGTAAATGTGCATATAAAGGGGGGGAGGGATGGATGCATCATTTGACGAAAA